AACCTCTCTGCTGTTGTTCTTTTCAGCTTTGGGTTCTCTTTTTTATTTCTTCCCCAGTCCTGGGTCTTGAATTCAGGGCCTGGGTGCTGTCCTGAGGTCTTTTGCCCAAAGCTGCTATTCTACCACTTGAGTCCCATTCCCACTTCTGTCTTTTTTGGTAGTTCAGTTAATTGGAGATCAGAGTCTCTTAGACTTTCCTGCTCTACTTGGCTTTGAACTGTGATCCTCAGATCTCAGCCTCCTGAGTGACTAAGATTCTAGGTGTGAGCCACTGGTGCCTGGCTGGGTTCTTTTTAACACAGTAGATCATATTTCTTCACTTTCTCAGAAGAATGTTTGGATGTACAATTCCATGTAGGTTTTCCCATTCCATGTCCTATCAAAGACAGCATTATAAACTGTAACATCCTGAAGCTTCCTTCTGTCCCTGGTATGTTGATTGCTGGGTCATGGCAGGCATCTGATTATAATTCCATATAATTCTTTGAGTCTATGGGAGTGTGTGTGTGAAATGCTTTTGGATTTTCTCCTTGGGGACAGTTGACATTTGAAGACGTGGCGGTGGATTTCACCCGGGGGGAATGGCGGTGCCTGACCCCGGCTCAGCGCGCTCTGTACAGGGACGTCATGCTGGACACCTACAGGAACCTGGTCTTTGTGGGTGAGCACCCCTCCCTTCCTTGCACAAGTCGGGAATTTTACTCTTGGCCTTGGTTTCCCCTGAATGCCTGGATAGCCCCCAGTCTCCATGACTAGATGTAAAGCTCTGTGGACTCAGAGATGGGAACGTGCTAATGTCACCTTCAGACTTTCACGCCCTTCCTTTGCCCTGCTCCTGTGATGCATCTCTGTGTCCCACAGCTTAAGTGAGCTCATGTGCATGTCAGCTACAGCAGGCTTCTCTCTCTTCTACTTTGTTTCTTTTTTCCATTCCCCTTCTTCTCTTCCTTTCTCCGCTCCTCTTCTTTTCCTTTCCTTTCCCTCTATGGGACTTTGTACATCTAGACAGGACCTCTCTACAGATCGTAGGCAGGTCCTGAGCTACAGCTCAGGCACTATGGCAAACCCTCCCTTCCTCCCTTCTTCCCTCTTTCCTTCCCTCCCTCCCTTTCTTCCTTTCTTCCCCTCTACCTCCTCTTTTTTTTTTTTAAAGAAAAGGTCCCTTCAACTTGCCCTGAACTTCTTTTTCTTTTTTTGGGGAGGCGGGGTCTGGTCGTGGGGCCTGAACTCTGGGCCTGAGCGCTGTACCTCAGCTCTTCAGCTCAAGGCTAGCGCTCTAGCACTTGAGCCACAGCGCCACTTCCAGCTTTTTTCTTTTTGCTTATGTGGTGCTGAGGAATCAAACCCAGGGCCTCAGGCATACAAGGCAAGCGCTCTACCACTGAGCCACCTCCCCTGAACTTCTGAGTGCTAGGATTACACACAGGTGACACCACACTCATCCCACAGCCGACTTTCAATGGATGGATTTCCTTGTTCTTCTGACTTAGTAGTAAAAAGCTAAAGTAACTCCATTTTAAGATTAACCCCACCAACCTGTAGCTGTGCTGCCCTCAGAATAACCTCCAAAGAGGAACAGTTCTCGAAAAAAACGCAGGTTGCCACCAACCCTGCCCACCTTTAAGAAACAGAGCAATTGCCCATTGTTCCAGCAGAAAAAGGGAAGTGTGGTCAAGGTGGACTCAAACCTCAGTATTATGCAATTTTTAACCAATTATGTAACTGCTTGTGTGGAAACCCCCTGAACTTGTGAGCTTGTTTGTTCAATACTATAAAAGCTATGCTAATTTTGTGCTCAGGGCCTCTTAGTGTCACCGGTTACCAAGTGTTTATTGCAGGCTCGAGCTTGCAATAAATGACTCTTTGATGTTTGCATTGATCGTGGTCCCTGGTGGTCTGTGAGGGGGCATCTGAAACTGGGTACTTCAGTAGTTCTAGCATTGCTGTCTGCACATTAAAGTGTGCTCTGAAGTGTTCAGATGGAGGCAGTCTGCTGAATGTGTGAACTATCCTTTGTATCCATGTGTGATGTCCCTTTTTCCTGTAAGCATGGGACTGGGGATTCCAGCAAGACCACAGTGCATTGTTTTTCTATAAACAGGAGTCTCCCCTCCCAGCGTGAGTGTGCTTTCGCTGTTGAAGCTCAGGAAAGAGCCCTGGATGGCACAGAGCCACGTGACAACTCCTAGAGAGCTAAGTGGTTGGGAACGAGCCAAACGTGTGTGCGCAGGTAAGAGCTCAGATGTGCAGCAGAAATGGAGCTGGGGAACCTGGGCACAAGTGGAAGTTTTGTGTAGGAGAACCAAAGTGTCACTGCTGTGAGCCCTAAAGGACTTTAGAATGTCCCCACTTGTGCCCTGTTCTGCAGAGTAATATGCCATTCTGTGTCTCCACTGCATTTGATGTGTGCTTTGAAGCGGTCCCAGGCTAGCTCTCAAGCTAATGGTGGGTGTGCAGTACCCCAACATCTCCTATATTCTCTGACTTCATTTCCTTCAGAGCTATGGCTGGACATTCCACTTCATATATTCTGTGCTTTTTCTCCAACACAAGTTTTTGGGGTTTTGTCTGTCTGTCGTGGGGCTTGAACTCTGGGCCTGGTTGATGTCCCTGAGCTCTTCAGCTCAAGGTGAGCATTCTACTGCTTGAGCCACAGCGCCACTTCTGGATTTCTAGTGGTTTATTGGAGATAAGAGTCTCTCGGACTTTTCTGCCCAGACTGGCTTTGAACCGTGATCCTCAGATCTCAGCCTCCCGAGTAGCTAGGATTTCAGGCATGAGCCACCAGCGCCCAGCTTTCCTGAGCTTCTTTTGCTCAAAGCTACCGCTCTACTAGTTGAGCCACTTCTGGCTTTATCATGTGTTACTGAGCAATCAAACCTAGGACTTTGTGAATGCTAGGCAAGCACACTACCACTAAGCCATATTCCCAGCTCTTGTTTTCTTTTCAAAGGGGAAAGGATTTGTTTATTTTATCCCGGGTTACTGTTTCTTTTTTTGGTAACTTGCCTAGTACCAAAATGTAATCAGCCTGTATTGTGTAACATAAGTGCTAGATATCTCCTGTTCATATTACAATCTGCTGTGAGTGCCTGTAGGCAATTTAAAGCACATATTCCATTGTTTTTGTTTCTTTTCTTTGATTGTACTGAATTACCCACCTCTGCTTTGCAATTGGATATTGCCTGTTGATTTGGCTGTAATGTGCTGTGGGCTGTGAATCATTACAATATACTGTGTGATACGTGGCGTTTATTTGTACATAGTGTGGTGTAGATAGCATTTCTTTTCCCTTTGGTTATGATAATCACCATATAGTTTTTGGTAGTGAGGTGTTCCATGGGTCCCAAGGAAGAATGTCCTGTGTTCTCCGCTCAACTTGATTAGGATGCATGTTTGAAATAAAGCTTATCTTCTCTTTGTTTGTTTGGGTTTTTTTTTTTTTTTGGGGGGGGGGTGTCAGTCATGGGGCTTGAACTCTGAGCCTGGATTATGTCCTTGAGCTCATTCACTCAAGGCTAGTACTCTGCCAGTTTGAGGCATAACTGCACTTCTGGCTTTCTGGTGATTTATTGAGCTAAGAGTCTCACGGACTTTCTTGCCCAGGCTGGCTTTGAACTGTGATCCTCAGATGTCAGGCACCTGAGTAGCTAGGTTTACAGTTGTGAACCACCATTGCCCAGCTTACCTTCTCTTAATTTGGATTCCATATGATTGACTTTCCAATGAAAGAATCCTCTTCCTTTTGTGTTCCTAAATGTTGGACTTTATATTTCTCAGAGTTCAAAGGGCTCCTCAATGTGTGTCTACTATTTGCTATGTGTCTAATATTTGTTCTCTCTCAGTGTGAAATGCTTAACTGTCTGATTAATCAGATGGGAACTTTGTATCTTTGCAGATACGTCTCCTAGATATGTAATTAAAGAATTACCACCCAGTGCGGGCAGCGGTAGGGGAGAAATATCCCAAAGTCATGATGACGGAGGCACTGACGAGTTTTCCGGGGAAGAAGTTCAGAAAGCTCCACGTGAGTGGGAGTGGGAGTGCAGCGGCACTGAAGGGGTGGACTTACAGAATGTCTTCTGCTAAAGGGGTGCTTGTGGTTGACAGAGAAGAGGCAGTGGCGGAGGAGAACAGGAGGGTGGGGGTCATGCGGGGAAGCAGCCCACGAGCCTGTGCCTGAACGGCCCCTCCAGGAGTGCCTGTGCGGGCTCCCGCCGTACCTGTGTGAAGGGCCAGGGGTGAAGACTGAGGTGGAGAAATCCGCCCTGGCAAAGGCCCCCATGTCTCGCTCTTGGGAGAGCCCCTCCAGTGGGAACACGCACATCATCCCTGCAGGTGATAACGCTTCCATTTGTTCTTTCTTGCCCTCACAAACACCTAAAGCACGCACTCGGAGAAAGCGTCACAAATGTGGGGAGTGTGGCAAAGTGTTCAGATACCCCTCGGTCCTGAAGCGGCACCGGCTGAGCCACACTGGGGAGAAGCTGCACCACTGCACCGTGTGCTGGAAGGCTTTCTCCACACGTTCTCGTCTCTTGGTTCACAAACGAAGCCATAGTGATGTGAAGCCCTATTCTTCTGTGAAGTGCGGGAAGACGGTCTGCAAGGCCAACAGGCTCACTGTGCACCGCATGATGCACACTGGGGAGAAGCCATATGTGTGTGAAAAGTGTGGCAAGGCCTTCCGAGTGCCTGCTACTCTCGCAGCACACCAGGTTATGCACACTGGACACAAGACCCAGAAGTGTGCCAAGTCCGGGAAGGGGTTCACCTATGGCTCCAGCCGCTTCCGGCATAGCAGGATGCACACTGGAGACAGGCCATTCCGGAGTGTGTGTGGCAAGGCCTTCATGCGTGGATCCCGTGAAGCACACCAGGCTGTTCACATTAGATGCAAGCCATATAAGTGTGAGGATTGTGGGAAGGTGTTTGGCTACCCTGGCGCCCTACTCCTGCACCGCAGGACGCACACCGGGGAGAAGCCGCACCGGTGCACCCAGTGCGGGAAGGCATTCGCACAGAAAAATGACCTGGCGCGCCACCAGAGGACACACACCGGGGAGAGACCGTTCGTGTGCAGTGAGTGCGGGAAAGCCTTTAAATCCCAGACAGAACGCCACAGCCACCTTGCCATCCACACAGGACATAAGCCCCACCAGTGCACAGAGTGCGGGAAGGCATTTTCCCGGAAGACGAATCTGGTGCGCCACCAACAGATCCACATCAGTGAGGGCCCGTACGAATGTGACATATGTGGCATGGTGTGCAGCCGGCGCTCCAACTTCACGTGCCATCGCAGGCTTCATACCCAAAAGAAGCCCCGCCAGACAGCAGCAAGGCGTGAGCCATCCACGCGTTGCCTGCGTAGCCGTTAAAGACTTATTCTCCATGGATCATGAACGCAAGGAAGACTGGATGTGACCAAGGTGATGCAGAATGGTGGTCCCTGCACACGATGACTGTGGCTGTTGTGTAGCAAAGACTACTGACCGGTCTTCTAAGAAGACGAATTCATCTTGATTTTGACATGAAACAAGTATTTCAAAAGTAGAGAATTTGGGGCTGGGAATGTCGTTTAGTGGTAGAGGGCTCGCCTAGCATGCATAAAGCCCTGGGTTCGATTCCTCGCTACCACATACACCGAAAAAAATGGAACTGGTTCCTCTAGCTCAAGTGGTAGACCGCTACACTTGAACACAAGAATCTCAAGGACAGTGCCTAGGCCCTGAGTTCAAGCCTAGGACTGGCAAAAAAAAAAAAAATGTCGAGAATGTAAGTGAGAGGCCAAAATAAGTTGGCAGTGATTTCAGAAACTCTAAGGAAAACATCTGTTATCTGAAAAACGAGTGTCAGTTCGTGTTCCAAGAAAATGTAACAGTAAAAATAACTAAGAAATCAGACCGTCCTGATCTGCCCAGGAATTTCAGCCCGCCCTGACCAGTTACCTCCCAACTCTGTCAGGACGCAATTTAGGACAGGAAATAGTCCAGGAATAGCACCTTCAGCATTCCTGTGATTGGCCCCATCTACCCCAACCTATAATATGCTTGCTATGTATGATTTATCCTATCCTATAACCGCTAATGACTATACATCGGCAACGGCTCCCTGGTGGTCTTTGGGATGTCTACGGCCTGTTACTTCAGTAATCTGATGTGGAACAAGAACTTTAGGGTCACTCAGTGTTGGAGACTTTCCCCGCAGCTGCCAGGCTCTTGAGTTTAAACCTCAGGACACACACGAGCAGAATAGCATTTTCTTGAGGATGGTTATACAGAACTACTCCAGTTAAACTTTGCTGCTGCTCTTTTCACAGTGTGTCCATGCTTCAGTTCATAAAATAACCTTTTAAAAAGAAAAGAATTACTGAGCAATTGACGATTTCTATCCAGATGAGTTTTATTTCATTTCTATCAAATTTTTCCCAACAGAAATTCTTCGTCCCTGTGCTGTTCTCCACACCGTTAGGGTCCGTGTAGATAAAATAGCAATGGCACATGTGAAACCAGAGCCCAGCCCAGGTTTTTATATTGCAAGATGTGGTTGCATAGGAATATTAAACATGACAATGAAGCGCAATTTCAGAATCACGCTGTGCTTCATGAGGCAAAGACATTGAAGACTATATGGGGAAAATGTCCACAAATACCAACCCCACCAGAAAAAAATTCTATTACTTTATTCTCTTATTTGATATACCGTCATTGCATCCTGGATAGGGAATGTTTCTTCAGTGCTTGATTGGATGTAGTCACATTTTATCTTCAAGATGTTGTTCCATGGAAGTATTTTCTCCATCCATCTGTTTTGGTGTCCATACTTTGTGTCCCTGTGTCTTGTGACTCAATGCTGCGATGAAGATGTAAGTTCAGCTGGGTGCCTGTAATCCTAGCTACTCTGGAGGCTGAATCTGAGAATCCCAGTTCAAAGCCAGCCTGCGAAGGAAAGTCTGTGAGACTCTTATCTCCAATTAATTACTCAGAAATATCCATAAGTACTGGGAAGGTGGCCCATGGTAGAGTGCTTGCCTTGCATGCATGAGGCCCTGGGTTTGATTCCTGAGCACCACATATGCAGAAAAAGTCAGAAGTGGCTCTGTGGCTCAAGTGGTAGAGCGCTAGCCTTGCGCTGAAGAGCTGAGGGACAGCGCCCAGGCCCAGAGTTCAGGGTGCGGGGTGCAGTGGGAGCTGACTTCCTCTCCTCTTGCCTGTACTGGCAACGTGCAGACTTCAGGAGCCCAGAACTTTCTGGAAGTCTTTTCCCAGGTGACAATTAAGAAGTAAACCTGCTAGCATCTGTGAGGTGATTACTGCGGACTTTGTGCAGTTCGTGTCCAGGATCCCTGGGGCACCAGCGTCCCACACAGGGAGCAGGAAGCCCTGTGGGTGACCCCATGCGGCACTGGCACGACCCATGCAGTCACTGCTTCCCAGAGGAAGCCACAGCTCAGACAGCTGCAACCTCCTGACCTTTCTAGAAAAGAAATGGAGTGACACTAAATATGGGGAGAGGATTTCCAAGACATGCCAGGAGGAGGAAGATGCTAGTGACTACCCTTGGACATGGCTACAATCTCTGCAAAAACTGGTGACTAGTTGGGACTCAGGTTACAATAAATGGCAACTGGTATGGAGATTTTATATAATGTGTAAAGTAAATTATATTACATTGTATTCTCCAGATTACATATGTATATGAATAGAGTAGAGAGAAGAGAGTTGCAGAACAATAATCAAACAAAGCTCTAATACTGATCAAAACACCCCATGATTGAAAATGACCACAGTCCATCCAGCTGCTTCACAGACTGAACCTTACAATTGTGTCATTATCCATTTCTTCTGTGATCAGGGTTTTATCCCATCTTGCTTTATTTGGTTTCTATGTGCTTGAGTAATTTCTGCAGTATATTTTGTTGTTGAGAACGGGTTTCATTCCACTGTGGTCAGGTAGGATGCAAGGAATTGTGTCATTTGTTTGGGTTCGTGTGTCCTATGATATGATCTGTTTTGAAGAATGTTTCATGGGCTGCTGAGAAGAATGTGAATTGGGCCCTTGTTGGGTGGAGAACTCTGTAGATGTCTCTTAAGTCTATTTGGGTTATGGTGTCATTTAGTTCACAGACTCCTTTGCTTATCTTTTGTTTGGTTGACCTGTCCTTTGGTGAGAGTGGGGTATTAAAATCTCTTGGTCTATGGGCTGGGAAAGTGGCTCAGTGGTAGGTAGCTTGCCTTGCATGCCCGAGGCCCTGGGTTCGATTCCTCAGCACCACATAAGCAAAAAGAAAAAAGCTGGAAGTGGTGCTGTGGCTCAAGTGGTAGAGTGCTAGCCTTGAGCTGAAGAGCTGAGGGACAGCACCCAGGCCCAGAGTTCAGGCCCCACGACTGGACAAAAATAAATAAATAAATAAAATCTCTTGGTCTATTCTGTTCTGGAAATCCAAAGTTATTTTTTAGAGGTATTTAGGTTCCCCATTATTTGGTGCATAGATATTGACCTCTGTGATTGACTCTGTTTTTTTTTTTGGGGGGGGGGAGCCGGTAGTGGGGTCTGAACTCTGCGCCTGGGCGCTGTCCCTCAGCTCTTCAGCTCTTCAGCTCAAGGCTAGCGCTCTACCACAGCACCACTTCCAGCTTTTTTCTTTTAGCTTATGTGGTGCTGAGGAATTGAACCCAGAGCCTCATGCATGCAAGGCAAGCGCTCTACCATTGAGCCTCCTTCCCAGCCTCTGTAATTGACTCTTGATGGATCATTTCCTTTATTAATATGTCATGACCTCCTTGTCTCTCAGTACTGATTTTAATAAAAGCTCTATTTTATCAGATTTCATTATGGCTCTCCTGCCTTGTTGCAGATACATTTGCATGGAAGCTCATTTTCCATCCTTCACTTGGAGGTTGATGGATCTGAATGTCTTGGAGAATATAAATGGATGGATATTGTTTTGTTTTTTGTTTGATCCAGTCTCCTGCTCTTTTTATATTGATTGGGGATTGGAATCCATTAATGTTTAATTATTATAGAGATATGTGTCATGTTTCCTGCCTTTTCATTTCTTGTATTTTGCTACTCTTCCTATCCTTACTAAATAGGTCTTCTATGGGCTTTTGATATGTTTCCTGGACTTGGGATGCTTTTTTCAGATTGTGTACTTTCCTTTAGTATTCTTTGTTATGCTGGTTTAATGTTGATGAATTCCTTTAAGTTTTATCATGGGAAGTTTTAGTTTCACCATCAAATATAAATGATAGCTTCAGTAGATACACCAGCTCTGTTGGGTCTTCGTCCATCTTTGGACAGACGAGGTCCGAGGAAAGGTAAGTGCGAAGTGCGGCCGCTGGCCCGTTCCCCAGCCTCCCTTAGCCCAGGAGACAATCAGATGCAGTGGGGAGTCAAGTCAAGCAGGAACTCATTTATTAACAGGGAGCATCCCCTTTTTAAAGCAAAAGACTGTGTGGGAGGGGAGGAAATGGAACCAACCAATCACTGAAAGGCCACATGTTATCATGCACCTAAGCTTCCATGAATTATTTACACACTGAACCTAAACAAATCCGGCTCTACCCACTCAACTTCCTCTCAGGGCCATCTTTGCTACCTATGTTCCCCACAGATTTCCCCACATATTCACCCTTTTTGTTTTAATGGTAGATTCACCTCCCAGTTAGTTATCTTTTTCCGCTCCTCTGTAAAGGTTATTTTAACAGGATTACATTTGGCCATGCAGGGGGTTGGAGGTCCCTTGTGCATAAGAGCCCGTCCCAGTTACCTCTCATCCCCACCCAGCACAATAATAAACATTAGCCCCACCACAGTTAGAAATGTCCCAAGCAGTAAAATTTAAAACAAACTGTGCAGACATAGCAAAGCAATCCCGGGCACCTGGTGTCTTTTAAGTAAGCCAGTTCCTTGTACATGCCTTTAAGCGAGCACAGGGGTCAAGATGACCTTTAAACTTTACCGTCAGCTCCCAATACCCCATCTCTGTTTAAAGAAGCAAACCCACCTGTCTTAGGTTGGGTAGATCGCCTTGTCTGTCTTACCCGTCATCGGGAACTTCTTCAGAGCAAAGCTGAAGGCCCTGTCTTAGGTTGGTCAGACCGGCACCCCCTCTTACCCATCTCTGGCTGCGGTTCCTCTCGGGGGAAATTTATTCACTTGGAGCTTGATCTTATGTAACTGGCTGGCTCATAAGAGTTTTGCAGTGCACATATAATGCAAGGAAGGCCTAAAAAAACCATCAGCAAAAGCATTCCCAGGCCAACAATGTCATTAGCCCTTTAACATTAGTCAGGGATGGGATAGTAGTCTTTGCCACTTTAGAGTCCAGAGGTGGGGCTTGTTCTAGAGCAGGTTTTAGACATATTTACAGGACGCATAACAAAAGGTGGTTGTACAAGCAATTAGTAAAAGAACAATTAGAGCAGGTAACATTAAAATAGATAGTTCCTACAAAAATATGTTTTAAACAGTCCATACGTAATGACATAGGGTGGTGATCAAAATGAAGGTCAGGCCACCAGATGGAAGGGACAGCTTCTCTTGTGATGCTATTGATGATTTCTGCATCGCCAGTGCTGATCACTGCCCAGGTCACCCGTTGAGGTTGATGTGGATTCCGGAAGGTCAGGACAGCCATCAGCTAGAGTATCACCATCTGTAATTGTTAAAGAACACAAGAGCTTCTCAAGGGCTGGTTGCCCTTTGGGATGGTTAGTTTATCCTTCCACCTGACTTTCACTTGGGGCTTAGGGTTTAGTAGTCCCCAGTCAGTTGCCCCTTTTGAAAAATTGAAAATGTTAACTGTATATAGGGGGCTAACTCCCCCTTTTTGTTTTAATTGCTCCTTAAGACATTGGTGATTTCTTTTTATAATTGCTTGGCCTTGGGGATTATAGGGAATACCTGTAGTATGATTAATATGCCATTTGTCAAAAAACTCTGACATTGCTTTACTGACAAAACAGGGTCCATTATAAGTTTTAACTTGTGCTAGTAGACCCAAGGTGGCAAAGCATTGAAGAAAATGTGCTTGTGAATGTTTAGTCCTTTCTCTTGTATGTGCTGTGGCCAAGGGAGAGTTTGGGCCATTCTCCACCACTGCCTGGCGGAGCTCTTTAAGATCCTTAGCTTTCCATGGATACCATTCCAAGGGCCTGTTAGCCCCTGATGCCACATTGACCGGATACGCTTGGGGAAGCGAATCCTGTGGCCGAGAGTCTGGGCTCTTGGGTGGCCCTTCCTTTCCAGAGGAGGTCTCCGAGTAGGTTACTTCCCCAGCCCTTGGCCCCTCCATGGGGTAGGGGTCTGGTCTTGCAAGTCCCTCTCGAAGGTCTTGTAGGGCACCATACCTCCCTTCCAATCAGGGGAATAGGGAGGGGGCCCAGGACCATCAGGGGCACCTGAGTAGCTGCCTCCGCCCCTGCATGCACAGATAGTGCGTTCCTGGTCCAATTTGACCTGTTCCTTTTCCTTTTTCCTTTCCAAGTCCTCCTGTACTCTTTCTAGGCCTAATGTTGCTGCCTCCTTTTGTGATATAGCATTACCCATACTTAGGGTTTCACTCACCCCAAAAGACCACTTAGCCTCAGCTGGTATCTTTTCCTTTCGTGCCCCACGTTGGCGCCAGATGTTGGGTCTTCGTCCATCTTTGGACGGATGGGGGCCGAGGAAAGGTAAGTGCGAAGTGCGGCCGCTGGCCTGTTCCCCAGCCTCCCTTAGCCCAGGAGACAATCAGATGCAGCGGGGAGTCAAGTCAAGCAGGAACTCGTTTATTAACAGGGAGCATCCCCTTTTTAAAGCAAAAGACTGCGTGGGAGGGGAGGAAATAGAACCAACCAATCACTAAAAGGCCACATGTTATCATGCACCTAAGCTTCCATGAGTTGTTTACACACTGAACCTAAACAAATCCGGCTCTACCCACTCAACTTCCTCTCAGGGCCATCTTTGCTACCTGTGTTCCCCACAGATTTCCCCACACAGCTCGAGTTGGTACTTCAGGGCTTGAATTATCCCAGTCCATGCTCTCCCTGCATTGAGAGTTTGTGTGGAGAGATCTGCAGTGATTCCGATTATCTTTCCATTGTAATGTATCTCCTTCTCTGATTTATTGGCATTTAAAATCAGTTCCTTGGGCTGGGAAGGTGGCTCAGTGGCTCAAGTGGTAGAGCACTAGCCTTGAGCTGAAGAGCTGAGGGACAGTGCCCAGGCCCAGAGTTCAGGCCCCATGACCGGAAAAAGAAAAAAGAATTCCTTGCTTATTGAGTCTAATCTTTTTACTTGGATGTCTAAAAGGGTTTCTTCTCTCTACTAGGGATCCTTTCCACTAGGGGTTCTGTGTGTTTCTCTCAGGTGGATGGGATTTTCTCTCCAGATTGAGGAACTTCTTTTCTTTTTCTTTCTTTTCTTTTTTTTCTTTTTTGTTGGTCATGGGGCTTGAACTCTAGATCTGAGCGCTGTCCCTCAGCTCTTCATCTCAAGGCTAGCGCTCTACCTCTTGAGCCACAGCTCCATTTCCAGTTTCCTGAGTGGTTTATTGGAGATAAGAGTCTCGCAAACTTTCTTGCCAGGTTGGCTTTAAACTGTGATTCTCAGAGCTGAGACTCCTGAGTAGCTAGGATTATAGTCGTGAGCCACCAGCACTCGGCTCTTCAATCTTTCATTGTGATTTATGCATCTGGGCTCAGGGATTGCCAGAACTGTGTTGTGAACTTGGCATGCTAGCATTTGACAGGTGGTGGCCCATGCATAGCCTGGGCTGGCCACCCCCCGGGTGAACTAGCCCACACTGGGTCCCCCAGCCACCAAGCACTTGCAGAAATATGTTGGCCTTGTCCCAGGCCAATGAGCTCTCCATTGCCAGGTGAGCACTTGGTCCAGTCTTGGGGAGGAAGCGGATGGAGGGCAGGATTCAGGCCTCTGGGTTGGGCATGGAACTTTTGGGAGGAGTAGGCTTCTGAAGCAGCACGGGAGTTTGTGTTAACTTCAAACCGGTAAGTTTGGTGCTGCCAATAGCCAGTGCTGTGGATGACCCAGGGTCTTAGTGCCTTTCACTGTGAGTCCTGGTGGTCTTCCACTGTAAACCAACAGGTGGCGGGGGGCAGAGGAAGGGGGAGAGCTCTGACCTTTCTGTATTCTTCAAGTGTGGTATCCCTTCTTGGGTGGGAGAGAAGGGTCCAAGCCCAAATCTCAGGGTTGCCACTAGCAGTGGTCTTCCATGGGGAAGGGGTCCCCGGCAGGGTACTCAGTGATCTGGAGGTGGTTGTGGGCTGATGACAGTGATATGAAAGTTCTCTGGTTCTGGACGTCCCAGTCACATGTTGCTGGTCTGTGTCACCTGGCCAGGAGCCAGGTCTGGGGCAGTTTTCTGTGTCTGGATGCTGCAGTCTCACTGCTCAGGTCCTGGGGTCCCAGTCAGCCATGGTGCTGCTCTTGTGGCCTAGCAGCCTTGTTGGCACTGAATGAGGGGTTAGGGGAAGGTGCTTTGTGGTTTTCCAACTTTGTAGCATACCAGTTATGAGCAATTTTTCCTTTCTGTTCCTGTTTCTCTATTTGTATACACATTTTTATGTTCTCAATCTTGTGGGGGAAAAGTATACGTTAAGACCCTAAGTCTCTGGATATAGACAGCTAGGGTTTCTCCCTATCACTTCTCTGCCATCTTGGCTCCAAGGAGGTACTTTTCAAAAGTATGCCTTAAATTTCAGTTAAGGCCGGTACTGGTGTTTAGCATGTTTTCTTCTCAGGTAGTTGGGGTTTGAGAACCATGGTTCCTGAGCAGACAATCTGAGTCTTTTCTCTCATTAACCAACAAGAACTAGTAGTGGAGGTGTGGCTCAAGAGGAAGGCACCAGCCTTGAACAAAATAGCTAGGGATAACATCCAGGCACTCACAAACTCTCCTGCCTGGGTTGGCTTCAAACCACAGCCCTCAGATCTCAAGCCTCCTGAGTAACTCTGATGACAGACGTGAGCCACCAGCACCCCAAAATTGTTCTAGTTATTATTAGAAATATCTATAAATTGTATTTCTTATGTAGTATGTTGAATACTGCTTCATGGGAAACATTAGATATGCAACCACACATATTTCAATATAGAAATATGTGCTGGGTGCTGGTTTTACCACTTGTGTGGCATTGCTGTTTTACTACATTGTACCCTCAGTGTGGACAGCACTGGGACAGAGTTTAGAAGTTCCTAAAGCTGTGTCAGGTGTGATTTCAAATGAACATTCTAGATCCTCAACCTTTATAGAGCCTGTGTCATTGCTTTCTGTCAGGAAGAATTAGACAAAAATGAAGGAAAATTTATCTAAATAAAAATCAGGAGTTGTTCAGTACTTTTTTAAAGAAGGTATTTTATTTACTAACACAGGAATATGTTCTGAATAGAGAAGTAGCAAAATTAAATAGCAGCAGTTCTATCTAATCATCCTTGAGAAAATGCTATTCTGTTTTGTGTTCTTGTGGTTTGAACTCAATCTGGCACCTGCTAGGGAAGTGCTTGACACTGAGCTACCCCAAAGTTCTCATTCAAGATCTGATGAAATTCCCCACACTAGAAACCGTTTTCTCTTTCATCTCAAGAAGCAAGTAAATTCACCTTATTGAAAAATGGGTCAGCAGTCTTTGCTAGACAGCCATGGTCATTTAGTGCAGAGGCCGCCATTCTCCTACATCACTTCTGTCACATCTCCAGTAGCCTAGTGCTCACTTTTCCCACGAACACCATGCTGTGCTGTTCTCTCTGGCCCCTGTAGTTCAGTCAGTGCGGTGCATTTTTCTAAAGAGCAGTATCAGGGTGAAGGATACACAATGATGGGCGACATCATGCCCCAGCTCCACACCATTCCTGCCCCTCTGCTGTGCACAACCTTTCATTGATTTCAGAAGGAAGATTCATCTTTCCCTGAGTGTGCATAGAAATAATCCTCACAAAATGGTGGGACCAGCCTTTCAAAAGCCCCACACAGGAAAACCTGCAAGGTGGGTATTTCATCAGCAGAGCTCAGCCCTAAAGGCCCAAAGCCCAGAATCATCAGGGTTGGTGAACTCCTTGATTCTGGATGGCCCTGCCTCCTTTGCAAATATCTTGTTGTATTCTTGGCTTGAAATTCTTTTGCTGATAGATCGGGAAGAGTCCACAGTGAACAAGAGAGCAGATGGATCCCCTGGTCGTCACAAGAAGGTCAGTGTGCTCAGCCTGTATGGGTTCCTCAAAGAAATCTGATGTCCACTGAGTGAGGTTTGCATTTGAGCCTCTGCTGTGTACATGTCACAATTTCCTGTGTTCTGCTCTTGTTGGAAGCATTTTTTTTTTTTTTTTGGTTGCTGTTGTTTGTGGGGCTTGATCTTGGATCCTTGAGCTTTTCTGCTCAAGGCTAGTGCTCTATTGCTTGATCAGCAGCGCCATTTCCAGTTTTCTGGTGGTTAATTAGAGATGAGTCTCACAGATTTTCCTGGCGTGGGTTGGCTTTGAACAATGATCCTCAGATCTCAGCCTCCTGAGTAGCTATAATTACAGGCGTGAGCCACTGGCACATGGCTTGTGACAGCAATTCTTATAAACTATTAACAAAAGAGTCATGATTCTGGGTTTCAGTGGCTTCATGCCTGTAATCCTAGCTACTGAAGAGTCTGAGATCTGAGGGTAGAGGTTCAAAGCCAACCCAGAAAGTGTATGAGACATCTCCAATAAACCACTCAGAAAACCAGAAGTGGTACTGTGGCTCAAGTAGTAGAGCGCTCACCTTGAGCTGAGACAGCACCCAGACCCAAATTCAAGTCCCAAAACCACCACCAACAACAAAAAAGTCATGATCATGATATACAGCTCAGGTTGCCCTGAAACTCACTATCTACTGGAATTACAGCAGGAAGTACTGCACTTGAAAGCAGGCCTGAACCCCTTGGGAGCAATTTCATGTCACCCTCATGCTTACATTCAGTGGGGACTGAGCCCTGAAGGCCATTCCTAGATGGATGGCGCCCTGCTACACTCCCTGGCAGGCCTTCTTTTGTGAGTGAAGCCTATGATGGATAGTCAAGGTGGAACTTCAGCTGGATATCTTGCTACATTTATCACACACATTCCATTATCCACATTCCGCCTCTCCTTGGTGTGTCTTGAGGTGGCGCACAAGGTGCTTGTTCTGTCTGAATACCTTCCCACACTCAGTGCACTGGTAGGGCTTCAAATCCATGTGGATGGTGCGGTGGACTGTGAGGTTGGAGTGGGAAGCAAAGGCTTTGCCACAGTCTGGGCACACGTATGGCTTCTCCCCAGTGTGCGTCCTGCGGTGGCGCACGAGCGTTGCTTTCTGCGTGAATGTTTTGCCACACTGGGTGCAGCCGTATGGCCTCGCCCCAGTGTGTACCACCTGGTGCTTAGTGAGGTCCTTGCGACTGGTGAACGCCTTTCCACACGTGTCACACACAAATGGCCTCTCCCCTGTGTGTGTCCTGCGATGTATGACAAGGCTGGAGGACTGACGGTATGCCTTCCCACACACAGAGCACCTGTAAGGCTTCTGGTCGCTGTGCACTGTCTGGTGTTTGCTCAGCTCACCACGCGTGCAGAAGGCCTTCGCACACAAGCCACACACATATGGCCTCTCCACAGTGTGTGTCCTCTTGTGGCACACGAGGCCAGATTTCTGTAGGAATGCCTTCCCGCAAGTGGCACAGCAATATGGCCTTGCCCCAGCATGCGTCCTCCAATGCATGGTGAGGCTGGAGTCCTGGCTGAACGCCTTGCCACACTCTCTGCACTTGTAAGGCTTTTCCTGAATACGTGCTTTGGGTGTATGTGTGCGTAAGGGAGAACATATCGGAACATCATCACAAGCATGGGCATTGTGAGTGTTCCCACTGGAGGGGCTTCCCTGAGGGCAGGACATGGGGGCCCCTGCAAGGGCGGACTTCTCCACCTCAGTCCTCACCCCTGGCCCTTCACACAGGTACGGTGGGAGCCTGAGCAGGTGCTTCTGGAGGGGCCGTCCCAGCCACGGGCTTGTGGGCTGCTTCACCGAGTGACCCCCACCCTCCTGCTTTCCTCCGCCACTGCCCTCTTCTCTGTGGACCACAAGCACCCCTTTAGCACGGCCTTCAGCGCTGCTCCACTCCCACTCCCACTCACGCAGAGCCTTCTGGATTTCCTCGCAGGAAAACTCATCAGTGCCTCCGTCCTCATGACTTTGGATTATTTCTCCCCTACAGCTGCCGGCATGGGGTAGTAATTCTTTAATTATATATTTAGGAGAGGTACCTGGAAGATATAAAGTTCCATTCTGATTACTCACATAGTTAAGTATTTCATGCTAAAGGAGAGAATACTATAGAAAATAATTACACAGGCACAGAGAAGCCATGTGAACTCTGAGCACAGAAAATCCAATATGTAGGAACTCAAAAGGATTAGGATTAGCTGGGCTCTGGTGGCTCACACCTCTAATCCTAACTACTCAGGAGTCTGAGATCTAAGGATCACTGTTCCAAGCCAGCCCAAGCAGAACACTCCCTGAGACTCTTATCTCCAATAAACCATTAGAAAACCAAAAGTGGCACTGTGGCTCAAGTGATAGAGCGCTGGCCTTGAGCTGAAAAGTTCAGGGAAAGCCCCCAGGCCCAGAGTTCAAACCCCACCACCAACAAAAAAAGGGGGGGGAGTGAAGATGGCTCAGTTGTAGAGTGCTTGCCTTGTATGCATGAAGCCCTGAGTTCCTCAGCACCACATAAGCAGAAAAAGCTGGAAGTGGCGCTGTGGGTCAAGTGATAAGAGCACTAGCCTTGAGCTGAAGAGCTAAGGGACAGCACCCAGGACAAACTTCAGGCCCCAGGACCAAAAAAAAAAAAAAATACTGGGGCTGGAAGGTGGCTCAGTGGTAGAGTGCTTGCCTTGCTTGCATGAAGCCCTGCTTGCATTCCTCAGTACCACATAAAAAGAAAAAGCCAAAAGTGGTGCTGTGTCTCAAGTGGTAGAGTACTAGCCTTCAGCTGAAGAGCTCAAGGACAGCCACCAGGCCCAGAATTCAGCCCCACAACCAATCAAAGAAAAAAAATTACAGCTGGGCATTGGCAGCTCACACCTGTAATCCTAGTTACTCAGGAGGCTGAAATGTGAGGATCAAGGTTCAAAGCCAGCTTGGGCAGGAAAGTACGTGAGACTCTTATTTCTAATATTTCACCAGAAAACTGGAAGTGGCACTGTGGCTAAAGTGGTAGAGTGCTGGCCTTGAGCTGCAGAGCTTAGCGACACCAACCAGGCCGAGTTCAAGCCCCATGACCAAAACAAACAAAAACATCTGTTTTTAAAAAGGCACAAAATATAAGAAGTGGAATGTTCAGCCATAGCTCTAGGGGGTGCATCTGAAGGAAATGAAGTCAGAGAATAAAAGAGACACTTGGTTACTGCACACCCACAATTAGCTGGAGAGCCAGCCTAGAGCATGTCAATGGACACAGGAAATGCAGTGGAGACACAGAATGGCATATTACTCTGCAGGACAGTGCACTAGTGGGGACATTCTAAAGTCCTTTAGGGCTCATAGCAGAGACACTTTGGTTTTCCACAGAAAACTTCCACTCAGGGGCTAGGAAGGTGGCTCAGTGGTAGAGCTCTTGCCTTGCATGCATGAGGCCCTGGGTTCGATTCCTCAGCACTACATAAGCAAAAAGAAAAAAGCCGAAGTGGCGCTGTGGCTCAAGTGGTAGAGTGCTAACCTAGAGCTGAAGAGCTGAGGAACAGCGCCCAGGCCAGGAGTTCAGGCCCCACAACCGGACCCCCCCCCCCCAAGAAAAAAGAAAACTTCCACTCATGCCCAAGTTCCCCAGCTCCAACTCTGCACATCTGAGCTCTTACCTGTGTTCTCACCTTTGGTGCCTTCCCAACCACTCAGGTCTCCTGGAGTTTTCACATGGTTCTGTGCTACCCAGGGCTCTTCCTCGAGCTCCAATGGCAAAATCACACTCACGTTGGGAGGAGAGACTCCTGTTTATAGAAAGACAACGTGCTGTGGCCTTTCCAGAATCCCCAGTCCCACACTCATGGGAAAAGGGAACATCACACATGGATGCAAAATACAGTTCACACATTCAGCAGACTGCCTCCATCTGAATACTTCAGAGTACACTTTAATGTGCAGACCACACACAACAACTACTGAGTCAGAAGAACTAATAAATGGGTACAAAGTCTGCTGTGCACTGAGTGTGGTGGGATCTGTGTGTAATCCCAGCACTTAGAGGATCAGTGGCAAGTTCAAGCACAGCCAGGGCTACCAAGAGGGAACTTTTCTCAAAAAAAAATTATGAGGAAGAGAAAGAGGAATAGGTGGAGGAGGGGAAGAAAGGAAGGACTGCCATAGTACTTGATATGTAGTTCAGTGATAATTGGACCTGCCTAGTAGGTACAAAGATCTAGAGAGGGAAGGGAAAGGAAAAGAAGAAGAGTGGAGAAAAGAAGGGAAGAAGGTGAAGGGAAAAAAGGAACAAAGGAGAACAGTAGACAAGCCTGCAAAAGCTGACATGCACAGGTGCTCACTTAAGCTGTGGGACACAGGATGCAGGACAAAAGAAGGTTATTAAAGTCCGGAGGCCACATTAGCTTGTTTCTGTCCCTGAGTTGGTGGAGCTTTATGTCTAGTCAAGGAACATGGGGCTCTCCAGGTAGCACTCAGGGGAAACCAAGGCCAAGAGTAAAAATCCCAACTTGTGCAGGGAGGGGTGCTCACCCACGGAGACCAGGTTCCTGTAAGTGTCCAGCATGACATCCCTGTACAGAGCGCGCTGAGCCGGGGTCAGGCACCGCCACTCCTTCCGGGTGAAATCCACCGCCACATCCTCAAATGTCAACTGTCCACAAGGAGAAAATCCAAAAGCATTTCACACACATCCATGGACTCAGAAAAAGTATTACATGGAATTATAATCAATGCCTACCATGATAAAGCATCAACACACCTGAAGAGGATTTTACAATTTGTAAAAGTTCTTTGACACCCAAAGCAAAAAAAAAAAAAAAATCAAACAAACAAAAAAATGACATGGAATTGTACACCCCAGCATTCTTCAGAGTTAGTGGGGAAGTATGATGAGCACGCCTAGAATCCTAACCAGTCCAGGAGCCTGAGATCTTAGGATCAGGATTCAAAGCCAACTAGAACAGAAAAGTTCATGAGCCTCTTTCCTCCAATGGACTACCAAAAAGGCCAGAAGTGGAGCTGTGACTCAAGTGGTAGAACAGCAGCCTTGGGCAAAAGAGCTCAGGACAGCACCCAGGCCCTGAATTCAAGATGCAGGACTGGGTGCTTGGTGAGGAGGGAGACCAAAAGCTGAAAAGAAAACCAGCAGAGAGGTTTCAGCAAGCACACAGGAACACTTGGTGGGTGATACTCTTCTGTACCCACACTCAGTGGAGGTGTTCCCTCCCTGTTCGGGCTGAGGGAAGGCGTGGGGGGCATGAGCACACATGGCAGGCAGGCAAGCACCAGCATAGTCAGAGCCCAGGCCAGCTCTGTGCACAGGAAGGAGACGCCACACGGCTTTACCTGAGTCACAGCCGCCATCCCTGCTCCTCGTCTTTACTCTTCCTCCTCAGGTAATACCACTTTCCAGAAGTCAGTCCTGAGTGCTGAAAATATCCCGTTTAGTGCTCACACCCAACATGCACTCCTTGTGTTCCAGCCCTAGCCCAGGGAGGACCTCACCGTGGGGAAGATGGTCCTGTTCTGCCCACTCATGGGGTGATGGTGAGTGCCGGTCCTGGGAATGGAACTCAGGAACTGGGCCCTGTGTCTGAGCTTGTTTACTCAAGGCTGTTGCTCTACCACTTGAGCCACAGCTCCACTCTTGCTTTTTGGTGGTTAATTGAAGCTAAGATTCTCCTGGAGGGGTTGAAGCACTACAGCTCCTGAGCAAAAAAAACATCAGATACCAAGTTTGAGTCCCAGTCTATAATCTAAAAACAACACATGTATGGGACTTTCCTGCCCAGGCTGACTTCAAACCTCCATCCACATATCTCAGCCTCCTGAGTGGCTAGGCTTACAACCATGGGCCCTGCTCCTCTCCTTGTAACCCATGACCCCTCTTTTCCATGGACCAAATAAATGCCTTTGCACACTACAAATCTTTCTCCTCTCCTTCTATTCAGAAGTGCTCCCACATTTCCTGCACCGCACCACCTATGTGATGTCTTGGATCCTAGAGATGGAGATTCTGAACTTCTTTCTGCTTTCCTCTCTGCTGTTCCCTTTGTGGCTTTTGCTTCTTCCACGGATTCTTTGCAAAGCCTTCAGTGCACTCTCTACTTTGCCACCAGCTGTGGGGGCTCGCTCTCCTTTTCCTGTTTTCCCGATTTCTTGTCATTCTTTCCTCCTGATGATCTTTTGCCCTTCCCACAGCCCCAAGTACAGGCCCGGCAGGCCCCAGGTTGCCCCTTCCCCACCCCGAGGCTGCCCTGGGGTAGGCTGAGGAAGGGCCAGCGCAGGAGGGGTGGGCCCGGTCTCAGGACCACAGAGATCAGCGATGGGGGAGCTTGGCCAGGGACTGAGCCAGGCCCTGGAGACCAGGGATCGGGGCCCGATGTGGGGGTGGAGCCGACGGTCGGGGCCGCGGCGGGAGTCTCCGCGTGGGCAAGGTTGGGAGTTGGGGCCAGGCCGGGGGTTGAGGAAAGGACAGTGCAGGTGCAGGGGGTTCGCGGATGGGACGGGGATGGAATTCGGGGCTGGAGGGCCGCGGCTGGGGCCGGGAGTTGCGACCTTTGACCGGACGTCTTGGCCTGGGGCCCGGAGGCCGGGGTCTGGGGCCAGAGCGGGTCCCAGACCCCCGGTCGGGCCCCGAAGGTCTAGACGTGGGGCCGAGGGTAGGGGTCGAACAGGAGCCGAGAGGAGCTGGGACCGCGCCCACTCCGCCCTCGCCCCGCGGGCGCCCAGGGACGCGGGGACGCCGTAGTCCGGGCGCCACGGTCGCGCCAGGGCCGGCGGTCAGCGAGGACTGGCCGGCGACCCAGGCCGCTGGGCAGGAGGGCCGCGTGGGGTCTCCGGGACCCCACCCCGTCGTGGGGGCTGCGGACACCGGGACGCAGACTTACTCTTGCCAGAGGGATTTGTGAACTCCCTGTCATGCCTGCAGCTTTCTGGTCTGAGGGAAGCTGCGCGCGCAGCGAGCCAGGAGGGCGGGCTTGGAGGGCGTGGCAAGCAGGGCGGGGCGATCGGGGTGAGGCTAGGAAGGGCCAATGGAAAAGTGGGAATAGGTGCCGCCAGAAGGAAACCCAATCCACTGGACCAGAGCTGGGAGGGGTGGAGGAGGGGGAAGGCGGGGCGATAACAAGACTGGTCGGGCCAGAGAGTGGGCGGGTCCTACCTGGAGTGACAGTGGCAAAGGGCTGGAGCCAGGGGAGACTCCAGGCCTCTGAAGAGGCTACTAAGGCAGGGGCTGGGTGCCTAGCCTGGCCGGGCGCTGGGTGCAGAGGCCGGGGGCTGAGTCAAGAGTGCTGAGGTGGCCGGTTGCTGGGGTGCAGAGTCAGGGTACTGAGGCGGCTAGAGGCTGGGGGCAGAGTCAGGGTGCTGAAGAGAGAAGAGTTGATGGGAGAGAGGAGATAAGCTGAAGGAGGGAGAAAAGAAAGGGAAAGAGAAGCAGATGAGGAGGAGAGCAGAAGGGAGAGGCGCGAGGGATAGACGAGATGATAGAGGTAAGATCAAAGGGAGCAGAATAGAGAGAGGGGAGAAGAGAGAAAGAGGACCAGAAAGGGTGTGAGCGGAGAGCTGCTACAGGGGAGAGAAGAAGGAAAGAGGAGACAGAAGAGACAAGAGGGGAGAGGAGGAAGAGAAAAGAGAGCAAAGGAGAAGAAAGAGGACAGAAGGTGGCAGCAGAGAGAGAGAACAGAGGTGACAGAACAGGACATAGAGAGGAGAGGAGCCAGGAGAGAGGGAAGAGAAAAGGGAGAGAGGAGGGAGCAGAGAGAGTGGGGAGGAAAAGGGAATGGAAGGAATAAGAACAGAAGGGCAGACCCATACGCATCTGCGGGACACAGGCCCAATGGGGTTCTGAGATTAGAGATGAATGTGAACAATTCCGTTGTTTAGACGTTGTCATTTGCACAGAATGCATGGGCCTAGAAGGGACCATGTCTCATGAGGAAATCCAAGCGCAGAGATAGGGTGCACATCTAGTCTATGTGGAAGTTAGATCAACAGTACAAGTGGACATGGTAAATTACACAGGATGCTAGACATCACCCACACACCCCAACTCAGACTAAAGGAGGATCCCCTTAGGGGAAGAAATCAATGGTGGAGCTTATTTTTTGGTCGGTCGTGGGGCTTGAACTCTCATCTTGGGCACCACTTTTGGTTTTCTGGTGGTTTATTGGACATAAAGAGCCCCAGACTTTCCTGCTTGGGCTTTTTTTTGGTCGGTCGTGGGGCTTGAACTCTGGGCTTGGGCACTGTCCCTCAGCAATTCAGCTCAAGGCTAGGGCACTACGGCATGAGCCACAGCACCACTTCTGGTTTTCTGGTGGTTTATTGGAGATAAGTCTCAAGGTCTTTCCTGCCCGGGCTGGCTTTGAACTGTGATCCTCAGATCTCAGCCTCCTGAGTAGCTAGGCGTGAGGCCACCAGTGCCTGGCTTGGGCCGACTTTCAACTGCAATCATATCCCAGCCTGCTTGAGTAGCTAACATTATAGGCATAAACCACTGGTGCCCGTCTTTCTCTGGACATTTAAATTGAAATTTATCAAAATGAATTCCAAAGGGCTGGGAAGGTGGTTCAGTGGTTGAGTGCTTGCCTCACATACAAGTCCTGGGTTTGATTACTCAGGGCCACATAAGCAGAAAAGGCCAGAAGTGGTGCTGTAGCTCTGTGGTGCTGTAGCTCTAGTGGTAGGGCACTAGCCTTGAGCTGAACAGCTGAGGGGACAGCGCCCAGGCCGATTTCATGCCCCCTGATGGACAAAAAAAACCATGGAGAGACAATCACTTTATGCAACAGGGTTACTGTAGCATATACAACGAGAGCCCCAACAGTAGCTGAACTAATATCATTTCTGGTTCAGTCCAAGAACTTGAACTCAGAGCGTGGGAACTGTCCCTGAGCTTCTTTGGCTCAAGGCAACTGCCCTACCACCTGAGCCACAACTGTACTTATGAATATTTCTTTTTTATTTCTTTTTTTTGTTGGTCATGGTCCTGAACTCTGGGTCTGGGCACTGTCCCTCAGCTCAAGGCGAGCACTCTACCACTTGAGCCACAGCACCACTTCTGACTTTTTCTGCTTATATAGTGCTCAGGAATCAAACCAGGGCCTCATGCACTCAAGGCAAGCACTCTACCACTGGGCCACCTTCCCAGCACTTACGGATATTTGAGTAATTAATTGGAGATAAGAGTCTCACAGACAAGCTGGCTTTGAACTGGGATCCTCAGATCTCAGCCTCCAGAGTAGCTAGGATTACAGGCACCCAGCTGAACTTATATCTTCAGCACAGCATTGAATCACAAGACACAGGGACACATATGGACACCAAAACAGATGGATGGAGAAAACACTTCCATGGGACATCTTGAAGATAAAATGTGACTACATCCAATCAAGCACTGAAGAAACATTCCCTATCCAGGATGCAATGACGGTATATCAAATAAGAGAATAAAGTAATAGAATTTTTTTCTGGTGGGGCTGGTATTTGTGGACATTTTCCCCATATAGTCTTCAATGTCTTTGCCTCATGAAGCACAGCGTGATTCTGAAATTGCGCTTCATTGTCATGTTTAATATTCCTATGCAACCACATCTTGCAATATAAAAACCTGGGCTGGGCTCTGGTTTCACATGTGCCATTGCTATTTTATCTACACGGACCCTAACGGTGTGGAGAACAGCACTGGGGACAAAGAGTTTCTGTTGGGAAAAATTTGATAGAAATAAAACTCATCTGGATAGAAACCATCAATTGCTCAGTAATTCTTTTCTTTTTAAAAGGTTATTTTATGGACTAAAGCATGGACATTATGAACATTATGAACAGAGCAGCAGCAAAGTTTAACAGCAGCAGTTCTGTATAACCATCCTCAAGAAAATGCTATTCTGCTCGTATGTGTCCTGAGGTTTAAACTCAAGAGCCAGGCTGCTAGGAAAGTCCTCATTCCATATCTGATTACATTCTTGACTTTTTTTTTTGCCAGTCCTAGGCTTGAACTCAGGGCCTAGGCACTGTCCCTGAGCTTCTTGTGTTGAAGTTTAGCACTCTACCACTAGAGCCACAGCGCCAGTTCCGTTTTTTTCTGTGTATGTGGTAATGAGGAATCGAACCCAGGACTTCATGCATGCTAGGCGAGCCCTCTACCACTACGCCACATTCCCAGCCCCAAATTCTCTACTTTTGATATACTTCTTTCATCTCAAAAGCATATGGGTATGTCTTCTTAGAAGACTGGTCAGTACTCTTTGCTACATGACAGCCACAGTCATTGTGTGCAGGGACCGCCATTCTGCATCACCTCGGTCACATGATCTGTGGAAAATAAGTCTTTAAGGGCCACGCATGGATGGCTCACGCCTTGCTGCCCTCTGGCGGGGCTTCTTTTGGGCGTGAAGCCTGCGATGGCACGTGAAGTTGGAGCGCCTCCTGCACACCATGCCACATATGTCACATTCGTACGGGCCCTCACTGATGTGGATCTGTTGGTGGCGCACCAGATTCGTCTTCCGGGAAAATGCCTTCCCGCACTCTGTGCACTGGTGGGGCTTATGTCCTGTGTGGATGGCAAGGTGGCTGTGGCGTTCTGTCTGGGATTTAAAGGCTTTCCCGCACTCACTGCACACGAACGGTCTCTCCCCGGTGTGTGTCCTCTGGTGGCGCGCCAGGTCATTTTTCTGTGCGAATGCCTTCCCGCACTGGGTGCACCGGTGCGGCTTCTCCCCGGTGTGCGTCCTGCGGTGCAGGAGTAGGGCGCCAGGGTAGCCAAACACCTTCCCACAATCCTCACACTTATGTGGCTTGCATCCAATGTGAACAGCCTGGTGTGCTTCACGGGATCCACGCATGAAGGCCTTGCCACACACACTCCGGAATGGCCTGTCTCCAGTGTGCATCCTGCTGTGCCGGAGGAGGCTGGAGCCGTAGCTGAACGCCTTGCCACATGTGGCGCACCTGTGGGGCTTGTGTCCAGTGTGCATAACCTGGTGTGCTGCGAGAGTAGCAGGCACTCGGAAGGCCTTGCCACACTTTTCACACACATATGGCTTCTCCCCACTGTGTATCATGCGGTGCACAGTGAGCCTGTTGGCCTTGCAGAACGTCTTCCCGCACTCCAAACAAGAATAGGGCTTCACACCACTATGGCTTCGCTTGTGAACCAAGAGACGAGAATGTGTGGAGAAAGCTTTCCAGCACACGGTGCAGTGGTGCAGCTTCTTCCTAGTGTGGCTCAGCCGGTGCCGCTCCAGGACCGAGGGGTATCTGAACACTTTGCCACACTCCCCACATTTGTGATGCTTTCTCCAAGTGCGTGCTTTAGGTGTTTGTGAGGGCAAGAAAGAACAAATGGAAGCGTTATCACCTGCAGGGATGATGTGCGTGTTCCCACTGGAGGGGCTCTCCCAAGAGCGAGACATGGGGGCCTCTGCCAGGGCAGACTTCTCCACCTTGGTCCTCACCCCAAGCCTTTCACACAGGTACGGCGGGAGCCTGCGCAGGCGCTCCTGGAGGGGCCGTCCAGGCACAGGCTCGTGGGCTACCTCCCCAGATGACCCCCACCCTCCTGCTCTCCTCCGCCACTGCCTCTTCTCTGTTGACCACAAGCACCCCTTTAGCAGAAGACATTCTGTAAGTCCACCCCTTCAGCGCCGCTGCACTCCCACTCCCACTCACGTGGAGCTTTCTGGACTTCTTCCCAGGAAAACTCGTCAGTGCCTCCGTCGTCATGACTTTGGGATATTTCTCCCCTACCGCTGCCCGCTCTGGGTGGTAATTCTTTAATTACATATCTAGGAGAGGTATCTGCAAAGATATAAAGTTCCCATCTGATTAATCGGACAGTTAAGTATTTCACCCAAAGAGAGATAATACCACAGCAAATATCAGACATACACTAAGGAGCCATATGAACTCTGAGAC